TATCTAGGCGCGTGCGTTCACTTTCCAATAAGAAGCCAAATAGGAAGCCAAATTCTAATTTTCTTTTCAAAGTTCAAACGAACGTGGGACCGTGTCTTTCCAGTTACAACCAATTTCCCTTAGTTAATCGGTATGATGGGTTAGTGGGTTCAACCCAAATTCTCTATACTTTAGATTTTGGAAGCAAATTGCTCTTATACTGATTGTGTTGTTCAATACGTCACCAAATCTCAGTCTACAAAAAATATTGAAACTCAATGACTGAATCAATGAATGCTTCTTTGCTTCCTCCACACCCATCCCTTTCTTTTGGCTGTTCCTCATTGATGCTATTTACCAAACTGACCTACCAAGCCAAGTTATCAAAAACATGATTCTTCTGTTTAATGCGTGCCATGAATGTCATCTTGCTTGCATGCCACTCTTCTCAGTCTGCCTTCAGCTTTTAACTCTCTGTTCATAACTCTCCACTCCACCACTTCGACCGTTAAAGCCATACCCATAATCTAAATATTTTTATTTCATTGTTTAATGTCTTCTCCTAACAACCCAACACAACACGAGGCTGAAGTCATGCCGGTTTTTGAAGCTATTAGGAGGGCTAAGCGCTTAAGGTTGTTTGAGCCGTCTTTGGGCGTTCTTGGGTTTGTTCTTGTTACTGTCTTTGTGATTTGTTGCTTCTTCTTCTCGGATAATAGATACTCTGCTTCAAGATTTGGATTCTTGGAACTATCACAGAGGTTTTCTTGGTTGCGGATAAAAGGGTCTACTGGGGAACGCAGAGTTGAGTTTCTTGGAGGTGAGGGTGGAGGGTGTGATTTGTTTGATGGGGAATGGGTTTGGGATGAGAACTACCCTTTGTATCATTCAAAAGATTGCAGCTTTCTTGACGAAGGTTTTCGATGTTCGGAGAATGGAAGACGTGATTTGTATTACACAAAGTGGAGGTGGCAGCCCAAAGGTTGCAACTTGCCAAGGTAGATTTTGATGTTTGTTTTCCCATGGTTTCATTCTATTACTTCTTAAGTTCGTTATGTTTCTCGTGTCTTTCTTTAGTAATGATCATTGGATGAAGATGGTAAATTGAAATGCTGGTCTAAGAATTTCGTTAAGGAACAAAACAATGTTGTATCTCGATGTTCATGCTTAATTTTAAGTATTTGGAATATTGGAGTGATAAGAGATAAAGATACTCGTGGTTTGTGACTTACAATGAATGTCTTTAATCATCTAACTGGCATCTTGTCAGAAGGACTGCGACCAAACATTTGGGTTGCAATTTGCTATTCGTTCTGTTGTCTCATTATCACTCCTTTGTAACTTTCAGCAATTGGGACATGCAGCTATGTGAAAATGACAACATTTTGTGAGTGTGGTTTCCATGCAGAAACTCGACTCTTTCATGGATGTCTATATTGATAAGCATGATGAAGTGTTCGATTCCTTTTGCATTACTCTCTCTCTCTCTCTCTCGCTCTCTCTTTCTCTGTTTCAAATTCCACATCATTTTCACTTTTTAACAATTTTTTGCTTTGTCTTTTCCTAAGCAACCCTCATTTTATTTGTTTGTTTTGACCGTTCATCTTTTCATATTAGATGTAGCTACAACCTTGGCCTTTTGCTGGAGTCTTGAACTATCTTCCTTACATGCCCTTTATGCATCCTGTCTTAATTTTTCTGAAGAGATTAACTTTTCTATATTTGAAGTGTAAAAAGGCTTTTATTTTACGAAAGTCAATAAGCTCTTATTGGGTGACAACATAGCAGTGTTAATTCATTATATTACAAAAACCTTTATATCCATAATTTTATCATACATGTGACAATCTATGATTGAATGACTTTTACACTGGCAATTCATCCTCGTTAAATTATTTCCCTAGTGCTGCCAGTTTGTGATATGCTTGTGTAATGTTGGTTAATCTTTTGAGGATGTTGGTGCTAATGAATCATGGAGTTAAATCATATGGATGAGAATTAATTGCCATGCATTAAATTTTCTTTTACTTACACAGTCGGTTTCTTAGAACAGATTGAATGCAACGTTGATGTTGGAGAAACTGCGAAACAAACGAATAGTGTTTGCGGGGGACTCAATTGGGAGAAACCAATGGGAGTCACTCTTATGCTTGCTCTCTAGTGGAGTTCCTAACAAGGAATCAATCTATGAAGTGAATGGCAGCCCAATTACAAAGCACAAGGGGTTCTTGGTGTTCAAATTCAAGGATTTTAACTGTACAGTGGAATACTACAGAGCTCCATTTCTTGTATTGCAGAGCCGGCCTCCTAAAGGAGCTCCTGAAAATATCAGGACAACTCTCAAAGTTGATACAATGGATTGGAACTCTGAGAAGTGGAGAGATGCAGATATCCTGGTTCTTAACACAGGGCACTGGTGGAATTATGAGAAAACAATAAGAGGGTATTTCGATCCTTTCCATATTTTTTTGTATTACTGCAGTTTCAATGATTCAAAACAATTTGTTGTATTACATGCCATTTATCTGTAAATTTTGGCCAAGCAAAAGGGTTGAAAGTTTTCCATTTTGGTTCAGGGGTTGCTATTTTCAAAAAGGCATGGAAGTTAAGCTGGAAATGCAGGTAGAAGATGCATACAAACAGTCCATTCAGACAGTAATGAACTGGATACAAGACACAGTAAATCCTAGCAGGACCCAGATTTTCTTTCGTACTTTGGCCCCAGTGCACTTCAGGTTTGTTGGACGATTCTATCACTACAATGGATATTCTGAATATTGTAACGATCCAATGAATTGATGTGATATGTTTCAGAGGGGGAGATTGGAAAAACGGTGGAAACTGTCATTTGGAAACACTTCCGGAGCTTGGCTCTTCACTGGTGCCTAATGACAACTGGTTGCAGTTCAAAATAGCCAATGCGGTCTTATCTGCTTACACGAATGTTTCAGAAACTAAGAAGTTCATGGTGTTGAATGTTACTCAGATGAGTGCTCGTAGAAAAGATGGGCATTCATCGGTCTATTATCTTGGTCGTACTGTGGGACCTCATCGTCGCCAAGATTGCAGCCATTGGTGTCTGCCTGGTGTACCTGACACTTGGAATGAGCTGCTTTATGCACTGCTGCTTAAACACGAAGCTGTTCACACTGAGAAATCGTTTTGATTGTGTTGCATGGAATCATGTTGCGCAGAAATTAGCCAATTCTTTCCTAGAAAAGTGTTGCAGAGAGCTGCAAGAGATATTTTACATTAGAAATTTGCAGCCAGGGTTCAAGGTATCAGATTTTCTTGTGTGTTTTGACTATTAGACTGAGGGATGGAGCAACTGTAATTATCAAATTCTTTGGTAAGGTAACACGAACACAGTTTTGATACAACATGAAACATTATTTAAGGAAATTGCCAAGTGCAATTTTGTTCCTGTTAATTTAGAAACATGTCTTCATTTATTTAAAATTTAATAATACGAATAAATGTTCTTTTATTTGTTTGATATAAAAATATGCACACTAGTTCTTATCATGGAGATATTATTGAGCTGTTGGACCAACACTTGTATATGAGCCACCTCATAATTCTTTTCTTACTATTTTTACAGAGAATTAAGTTTTGTATAAGTTAATCAATTCGACTGAAGATATAAGTTATGAATAATAATTGATTAAGAAGTAATCATTTTGAAAAAGTTGTTAGCTTAACACTTTTGGTAATAGAAATAAAGCATAGGATTTGGATAGATTGGTCCAAGATACTTTGCCTCATGATTGGAGAAAATATGCATAGTAATATCTAAGAAAGAACTGAGGATCTTAAAATTGGAAGAAATAAAAAACGGACAAAATATTTAAAGAAAGTAAAATAAACTTCAAATACATTTAAAGGATAAAAACATAGTTTTTTAAGCATCACTTTAATTAAAAAGTTATTCATGAAATGCATAATTTCATCTGTAATGTATTATTTATAGTAAATGATACAACTAATTAACTTTTTCTAGGTATTGGTAATTTAAATTGGTGTTGATAAAATGAGTTCTTCTATCCCATCTCGTTTATTATAATGGGTTGGTTATTTAATGAATTAATTTAACCTAATTTAATTATTAATGAGTTCAAATAATTTAAATTTAATTGATTTATGATAGATTAAATGGGTTAACTAAAGTGTTATTTTTTTCTTTAATATTAGAAAAAATTATATTTTTTTAATTAAAAATCTAAATATAATCCAAAATAATTTCAAATTCAGATAAAATTCCAAATAAAAGTAAAAATATATATTTTAAATATAATTCAAAATTATTTTAAAATTCATATATTATCTAAATATATAAAAATAAAAAATAAATTACCATTTAATATTGTCACTTAACAATTTATAATATTAAAGTATTAAATGATAAATCAACCATATAAACAAATTTATGTTAATATTTTAAATTTTTAATGTAATTTAAAATGCGAATTAAATTCAAATAAATCAAATTTTTAAAAAACCAAATTTATTTTAATTCGTATTAAAATTTATAATTTTTTTAAACTTAACATCGCTCAAATATTGTTAGACTCGTTTTTCCAAATTTAAATATATATTTTTCTTTGATTTTTAAAAAGTAAAAGTGAATTATTTGTAGTTTTAGATAAATACAAAGACGAGGAAGTATTCTTCATAATACTTTTCCATTTGAAAAAAAAAATATTTTCGGATATCTCAAGAATAATTTGTGGTCAAATTTTAAAAAAAAAACATAAAAATTGTAATACATAAAAGTACAATATTATCATTATTAAATAATTTAACATGCTAGCAAGTAAAATTTTTAATTAACTTCAATAAAAAAATTTAGCAATATTATTACTAGCATAAAACACTTTAGTTATTGGGAAACATTCACGATTTTCAAAATTTTCGAGAGTTATGATCATTTGATATAAATTTCAACAATTTAAAAACAATTTTATCCGAGAATAAAATCCATGACCAACATGTATATGCATTCTTTGGTAAAAGTGGTAGCTTAAAGTTAAAGCTGAAAAAAATAAAGGAAAAGGAAAAACTGTGGAATTAGAAAATCTGAGTGGCGGTGCCGGTGAAGAGAGCGTAGAAGGTAGCGAGTGAAGCATCTTCAGCTCCAATGGCGGATACCTCGAGTCGATCCAGAGACCTCGACAAGCTCCTTCTCCGCCCTGGCAATCTTGTCGGTCCCAGGTTCGAACCTGGCGCCGAGGTACTGTTATTCTAACTGTTCCTATTCCAATTGCTATTCCTATTCACATTACTCTCTCTCTATAGGGTTTGGTTTGTGTTCCCTTGTGGTTTCTCTGTTGCAGTTGCGAGATGACCTTCAGGCCTTCGCCAAAGTGTTGGTGGTAGGGGCAGGTGGTTTGGGTTGCGAATTGTTGAAGGATTTAGCCCTCACTGGTTTCCGAAACCTTGAGGTCATTGATATGGATCGCATAGAGGTTACTAATCTCAACCGCCAATTCTTGTTCAGGTTAACTTCACGCCTTTCTTTTAAATCCTCATATTTTACTTGTCTAATAATCCCATTAGTCTTGGCTTGGTATTTCATTTCCGCAGTTTCTTTTGTTAACTTGCTTTGCTTGTAGACTTGAAGATGTTGGCAAACCCAAAGCTGAGGTAGCTGCCAAGCGAGTCATGGAGAGAATCAGTGGCGTGCAGATTGTGCCGCATTTTTGCAGGATTGAGGACAAGGAAATTGAATTTTACAACGATTTTAGCATTATTGCCCTTGGTCTTGATTCTGTTGAGGCACGCAGCTATATCAATACTGTTGCCTGTAGTTTTCTAGGTGTGTTTTGTTTCCTGTACCTTTCACTTAAACTGCTTAGGATTTTCCTTTTGAATTATGGTCGCAGTCATGCTTTTGTAGTTTTCCTCAATATTACTGGAAATCATGGACAAATAACCACCATTGTGGTTGCATTGCAGTGACAGACATCCAATAAACCTTGATGTTGTGGCAAAATATGTGGTCATGAACCATCTTTTAAAACTTTGGATTTATATATATATATATATATATCCTCCTTCTCTGTTTTATTATTGAATTGTTTTCAAGAATTGGTTTTTCATTTTTCACTCTGACATCAGATATAAGGTTATCAACAGCACTCTGACCTGAAGTATAAGGTTTTCAGCAGTATGCTTATTCTAATATTCAGTTTTTTTTTTCTGATAATACTAGAGTACGAATCTGATGATAGTCCACGAGAAGAGACTATCAAACCTATGGTGGATGGTGGGACTGAAGGTTTCAAGGGCCATGCCAGGGTTATCTTGCCAGGGATCACACCATGCTTCGAGTGTACAATCTGGCTTTTTCCACCTCAAGTAAAGTTTCCTTTGTGCACCCTGGCTGAAACCCCTAGGACAGCTGCCCACTGTATTGAATATGCTCACTTGATTAAGTGGAATGAGGTAAATCATTGTTTACTCTTTCTGTTATTTGCAATGTCCATTATTTCATGCAGAATTTAATTTATAGGTTCATGGTGGAGTGGCTTTTGATCCAGATAACCCTGAGCATATGAAATGGGTTTATGACGAGGTGACCACTATTTCTTAGTGAGTTTCTTGACAGGTTAATGTGCATTTTTGGCCCACGAATCAGTTAGAAGTATAATTCTTTATGTTTTACAGGCTATCAAGAGGGCTGAGCTTTTTGGCATTCCTGGAGTTACTTATTCTCTTACACAGGTATGTGGATGATTAAGTTTCATAGTTAATCCATAGCAAATTCTGAGTGTTTATGTGGTGTGTATAGTTTTGTACTTTGGTTTTCTCTGAATGATAAATTCCTACGAATTCTTTGATGTTTATCTTGTTTATTGTGTTTTCCCTGGTGATACCGGCCATATTCTTCATTTATCTATTTTCACTAAGAATTAATTATTTTAATAGGGTGTTGTGAAGAACATCATTCCAGCTATTGCTTCAACAAATGCTATTATATCAGCTGCATGTGCACTAGAAACATTAAAGATTGCAACAGAGTGCAGCAAAACTTTGTCGAATTATTTAACGTATGGCTGTTTTCTTATCAATATTTTCCTTCTGGCCGTAAATATTATTGATTGTTTAATACCTCTGTAGGTATAATGGATCAGCAGGCCTCCATACCGAAGTGGCAGAATTTGAAAGGGACAAGGACTGTCTTGTGTGTGGTCCTGGTATACGTATTGAACTGGACACTTCAATCACATTGCAAAAGGTTATTTTTCAATTATCAACTCCTCAAGTTTTTTATATAGACATATATGTATGAGTTAAGATCTGTTTACATAATGTGTAAGTCTTTTTAGACTTATACTAAATCCAACCATTAATTTTATTAAATCTGATTGTTCAAATCAATTTACTTATGTTGGTTAGGGGAAAGAGTTTTAAGGAAATACAAATTGATGCAATACGAAAGAGACTAGCTCGTGACTTACACCTGGTGTAAACAGATCTTAACCCTGAATATTTTTGTGTGTGTATGTATGTATATATATCAGAGTGACTCTAGTAAAACATTTGCTTACGTTATAATGATTACAACTACCAAACTTTAGACTTACACCTGGTGTAACAGTACCACCATGATTGTTGCTATCACCACCATCATGACTATCGTCGTTGCTTCCACTACATAGTGACATCGGTTATGGTGATGGTAGCAACAATAGTCATCATAAGTGGTGATGACAGCGATGGTGGCATGGGATAATATTTATGGTCATGAATCTTTAGAGGTTTGATGGCTGCAAGATATTTTAATTTGTAGTTTTTAGTATTTTAATCTTCACCGCCTATTATATTTAATCTTAATCCGATGTTTGTAATTAGTTCTTCTCACTAAAGCCACTTCTTGTGTGTGTGTGTACATATTTACTATTTATTCATGCAGCGAATGTCAATTCGTTCTGTTTTAGTTGCTACCTCATCATAATTTGAAGCCAAATCTAGAATGTTTCATTGTTAGTTTATTTTCAACCCTTGTTCCCATCTTCCTTTCCCTTTATTTTTTCCTTATTGATGTCTGTAGAAGAAATTCTTAGAATGTTGAACATTTAGAAAGATTTAGTAAGCATTAATCTTAGGAAAGTCCGTCCTTTAACTGGCAAGACCGGCCTTGTTTATTTCATGAAATGCTCATTCATTATGAAAGGTGAAATAATGTTTCTGTGATCTATTAAATGTTCTTGGCTCGAAATCAGTGAAATTAGTACAATAAAACGCTAGTGTACTGATGATATATATATATATATATGTGTGTGTGTGTGTGTGTGTGTGTGTGTGTGTATGTATTTTTCAACAAGTGAACTGCTTAGTTATTTGTTTTTAAGCAACTCGTATCTTAATGCAACTTTAGCACATTCCTTTCTGCTGCATTTTCTAATCAAATTGTGGTTAACAGTTCATGGATCTTTTGGAAGAACATCCTAAGTTGAGGTTATCAAAAACTAGTATCACACATCGAGGAAAGAATCTGTACATGCAAGCTCCCCCTGTATTGGAAGAAATGACTCGATCAAACCTGAGTCTATCTCTTTTTAACCTCATGGGTAAACTGCCCAAGGATGTTGTACATGTGAATGGTATGACAATCAAGAACGACCAAAAGTTCTCTTGTTTGAGAAAATTACGTGTTGTTTTCAAGGGAGTCGATGGGGTTACAGATATGGATACAGCTGGAGGAGCATAACCTACGCCATCGTATAATGTGTTGGTGCTTGGAGTTTTTAGGCTCTATTAGGATAATTATTGTTAGATATCTCAGATTGTTTCCAATATTGGACAGGTACGGTTTTACAGTTTCTACCCTGTCAGTTTTTCATATACAAGCCAGTCAATAACACTTTGATGCAGGGGATTGATTGCCCCACAGGGTGACGAATTTTGCAATTCCATTTTATCTTATGCACAGTTAGACTATATATGATGAAATTAAGTTGTTTTAACGTTTCCAAGTGCCCGTATTTCATCTCTGAAATTCTAAAGTTGGTCTTAAAATATCTTGATGGAGATGAACTGTAGATTTGTTGTGGTAGAGAAATGTCCTCACAAGTATAATTTGGCAACAAATGGTTCAGAGTTTTGAAGATTCTGGTCTCTAGTTATTATTATATTTACTAAAATGAAGTTAAGGCGACCATTTTGGATTGAATTTAGAATGGGTCAGCTTACGGACGAGAGAAATGTGCTAAATAGAAACCATTAAACTAATAGCTTTGTACATTAGGGGGAATATCTTCCCGGCAGGCTAAAATTCAGGGTATCTTCACACATCTCTTGTTTGTTGTGTTTGAAAAGATTCATTACCAAGTCATACATTACAACTAACAAAAGTGACAACTTCCATTGTTTGAATCTTTGAGAAGTATATATAATACTTGGAATGGTTTATCTTTCTTTGGAGTGTTTGGTTAATTGTCTGTCAATGGCTAATGATTACATGTCAATTGTTTTAGTGTCAGGTTACATAGCTAGAAATTCATTACCAGGTTGTGATTGCAGATTCCGTGCAAGACATTGAAGTCAACATTCGAATATATAAATTTCAGTAGTTGAAAAGTATTCGATTGTTTGAAGGTGTATTATTCGCACACTTTCCAATTTATATTAACATGGAATATAGTATTATGTATAATTTTATGAAGTGTCTGTATCAATATATTAAAAAATGAGAAGTTCTTGTCATTTCTTGGTAAGAATAGGACGAGAAGGATAGTGAGCTTACATAACTCAAGTGTATAGAATAACTCTACCAAAGGTATTATATTTATAAAAAGAACGAGCGCCCAGACACACCCGCACATGTGTGTGTATTACATAAACAAACAATTATGCAATTTTATTAAATATTTTTTTACATCAAATTAATAGTATATTTTAATTTAAAAGAAATGTATATTAATTTTTATATAATTATTCAATCATCTCTCCACCTAAAGTTAACCACTGTATGTATAGTATATAGAAGAGATGTTTACAAGCTGAAAAAATAAATTATAGTATGAACTAAAACAAACGTGGATGGCTTGGTTTGAGAGATTCTCTTCCACAAATGAAGAATTTTGAAAATAAGCAAAGTAAATCAAAACGCACTTTATTTATAAAACTCGAAGAAGGGAAAGTAATCGTCTTCACTGTATATGTTGATAATATGATTTTATCTTAATTGATACTTGCAAAATAGAAGTTTTGAAAAAATATTCAATTGCTGTATTTGAGATGGTAGTATTTAATTTTTATAAAAGGTGATTCTTGTAATCATGAATTATCTTTAGTAATTAATTAAAGGACTTAAGTGTCGAAATATTTGTTAGTAAATTCTGACAAAATTTGTTTGTTGATTTACTATTGAGACAAGTACTCTTTGTTGCTTAGAAAAAAAAAACAAATAATCATAGTCTTTAATTTGTTTTCAAGCCATATGTATTCATACATTTTTTCATTAATTAGTATTTTAATACTATTTATTTTAATCATCAAACTGTTTTTATATTTTATTACAATTAAAATGGTTTTATAAAAAATAAGTAAGTTTCACTAACTTTTTATTTTTATCTATACTTCATACATAAAAACTAAAATAAAATTTATTAACCAAAATAATTTCATTTAAATAAAAAATTGTCATAACAGAAAAATTTTCATGTCATTAATACCAACTATGAAAAAATTAAAACTATTTAGAGTAAGTATATTCTGATAGGAAATAATTTAGTGGCTAAATAAAGAAAAAATAAAAATCGATTGTATTTGTTTACAGTGAAAAAAATTACGTATTAAAAATAGGTAGTTATTTAAAAAAAAGGTACTTTAATAACTTTTTATTGTAATTTGGTTGTCCTTACTTGTAATTATTTTAATAAAAAACCTGTTTAAAAAAGTTATAAAGGGCAATAAAATTAATTTAACTAACGACTATAGTTAGTATTGTTTTGATTTGTCAATCCTTGAAAACTTGTGCGATTGCGACGGCAGCAAGGTACAAAGTATGAATAGGCGAAAAAGAAAAAGAAAACAGAGAAAAACAGTATAGCTGTTACGTAAACAACACTCACATGGAGCAAAGAATAATGCTTCTTCTTCCACATAACGAGGAACCATATTTTCTCTGGTGGAGGGTTTGATAATTAAAAGAAAGTTAGATGAAGTGAATAAAGTATAATGATGAAGAAGATAATTTGAAGAGAAGAGGGCGAAGTGCAAGTGTGTGAAGAAATTGACCTGCGACTGTGGGCTTTATATAATTGATTAATGATAGGAGGCATTATCGTTGTTAAGAAGAAAAAGTTATATGGGTGGAATTGCAGTGACAGTAACATGCAGGGTGTGTCTCGGTGGTTTAATATTGACCAAGAGCAACCGCTAGAAAGAAGATAGAAAACGGATAAGAAGAGTTTTGAGACAAGAATTGATTGTTTACTGAGCCATGAATGTTTGGTTTTTTGGATATGGTATAAGAGTGGACCATTCTCAACCATTGGTGTATCTTTGGGATCATGAATCTGAATCTCATCGATTCAACAGTTGTTTCCTGCTGTTCCTCATCTCATCCTTTTAAGATCAACACACTTCCATCATTCTAGTGGGCTGCTTTTGTGGGCCTCAGCCAGATTGGCCAACTCTCTCCATGGCCCACCAACCCACATGCCCATCTCTATTAAACCCTCTCCCACAAACACACACATCAAACTTTCTTAACTCTGATATGGAGGTTGCTCTTGAACTAGAAGATGACCTCTTTTTTGCTGACTTGAGCAAGCAGATTTCTCTCCTGATTATGGACGAAGAAGAAGAAGATGAAGAACACCCTCTTGCTTCTTCTCCTCAAGAACACCACTTTCAGGTTTTTTCACTTTACTCTTGGATGAATTTTTCCTCCTTCAGAAAAACCTCGCTTCAACTTAAATTTCTTTCTTTTATTTCAGACCTATTCTTCTGGGTCATTCTATCATCCCCCACAGTCTGCTATTCTCTATGAGCATGCTTTGAGAAGACAGAGCAAAGGGACAGGGGTGTTTATCCCTCAATCCACTCAGCCCAGAAGGAAGCACAGGAAAGGAAGATCAAGCTCAAACGCAAAACATCAAAAGCAGTCTCCAGACACGGCTGCTCCTGTTCCTATTAAAAAACCAGTTTCGAATCCGAAAATGGTTGAGGATACGTACATGTCTTCCCACAAAACTGCATAAGTCGTATCGCTCGATTACTTCTATATGGGTCTGATTAATTCTTTAGTCTTTAGGCAATAATTGTATGGTTATGTAGTTTGAACAAACCATGTGCAGGTCAATATGCGTTGACAGTGATGCCAGTAGAATAACTGTATATACAGTGGAGATTGCAGAATCTTCCTTATGAATTAGTTTTTGCAGGGTTAGTTAAAGTTTGATTGAAGTCAAGGTGTGCACAAGCATGATTTGTTGTTATGATGTTATCTAGTTTGATGAACCTGTCCTTGTTTTTTTTACCATTTCTGTCGATTTTTCATTTTGTTTAACTGTGTTTGTGTTTAACATGGGAATAATTCAGAAAAAACATAAAACCAAACCTTACGTTGCTTATCACAGATATTTTCTGTTTCATTAATGACGATAGAGAAACAACAGTACTATTGTTTTTTTAGCAAAAGTTGAGTAAAATTATTTTTGCAAAGGTTTTCAAACCACCAATATCTGTAAGGCAACTGGCTGGCGCAATATATATATATATATGTATATAATTGTGTAACTTTTATTAAAAGTTATATCCTAAATAAATTTTGTAAAATAATTTTGTCGATTGCTTCAATCAATTTTATATCATTTCACAATTATATATATCAAATTTTATTAATACTAGGACATTTAAATGTTTATATTCTTATATATTTTAATCTACACGTATCACATCAATTTTAATCCATGTAAATAATGTATTAAGTAAGTTTAAAAATATTTGATTAACTAAGAAGTTTATCATTCCATGATTTTATTTGAAATTTTTATCAATTCAACCTTATTAATTATAAAATACATATTATATTGGCTATGTATATTAAATTTTATAAAAAAGAAATAATAATATAATTGAAAACATGAAATTATGTATATTTTAATATACGTTCAAGAAAAAGTAGGTATTGCCTTTTTTTTTATGTGAAAGATGTAGCAGTTGACTTGAGATTGTTTTGTAACACTTTCCGAATTGAAAAGAGGAATGTTTAGTCCCATCATGCACCTTCCATCCAAATATGTTTAATGTAGGTAACTAAGTTCAAAATTTCCAAATTAGATATATATCATTAAATAATATTAAGTAAAAAAAATACTAATTGTAATATTTTCTTTTTTTGTTAATTCAACCCAAAGTATTTAAGTATCTAAAGTGGTAAACTATTTTTATATTTATAGTACTATGAGTTGTATATTAAACAACTAAGTATGTGTCCGTGATGCGATGATGGAAGAAAATTGAATGGATTGTTTAAATAACAGAATTTCCCTTTTTAAATACTTCCAAAATTAATCGCTCATGTTTTAAAAATAATATTTTACATGCATAAAAGGTATTACTATTTTAATTTATAATGCGTGTAAAATGAATATAAATATTTACATTTTATTATTATTTTGGATACATAAGGCTCGATTAGATCCGGCTCACCACGGGTTAGATCATTTAGTGAGTCAACTCAACCCGACTCATTTATTAGCGAGTTTAGAAAATTTGAATCCGACTCGACCTACCACGGGTTGGTGGGTTAAACGGATTGACTCATAAGATATTAAACTTCAAAGACAATTCAAAAAATAAAAAAATATGATACAATTAAAGCATAATCCAAAACCAAGCATGAAAGGAGAACAAATAACATTGGTAATTTTGTATCAATTGTCCATTTATAATATTAGAGTATTAAATAGATAAATCTATAATATTTTTTTCTCTTGAAACATCTTCATCTTTATCCATCTACAATATAATAAAAAAATATTAACTAATAATATTGAAACACAAAATAATAAATAATTAAATTAAATTAGGTAGGTTGGTGAGCCAACCCGGCTCTCCACAAGTTCAACCTGGCTCCCTTCAACCCGAATGAGTCAGGTTCTAAGTGAGCCAAGTTAAAACTAGCTTACATAAAAAAATTACATTTTTCTAAACCTAACTCGACTCAAATCCTTAATGGATCGGGTTGATTCACAAATTACAACTCATTTGACAACACTGTTATTTTTGTAATCCTGACTTAATCATTCCAACCTCTTCATAGTCATGAACACAAATTTCACATATATAGGTAGTTGTTGAAAATCATTCGAGAAAAAAAAAAGCCAATTTTGAATTAAATCGGTCTAAAAACGATCTATAACATCATAAGTTAAAACTTTCAACGCAACTGACTAATAATATCCATACAAAATTAATTGTTATTTTTAGATTAGTGATTAATATAACAGATCAATTATGAAAAAAAAATTACATTTTATTATACAAATATTATTTATATATACATTGTAAATATTGTCGTTATTTTCATAAATTTAAAAATATTAAAAATATTAATTTTAAGATTTTTTAAGAGGAGCGTGATTGAGAGGAGTTACTAAATAAGACCAAAAAAAAAATAAACTCAATTCAATCCAATTAGTTTGATTAAGTAATTTGATCCAAGTCAGAGTCTTTGCATCCTAATCAAACAATGTATAAAAAAATGACTAAAATAATTATTTCAATGTGTTAAATTTTGTAGTAAATATTATTAATCGGAAAATCAAGTTTAATCACAATGAATGATGTTAAATAAAAAGAAGAATAATGAGAAATAGCTTAAAATAATAATATAAAGAATTGGAGTGTGAAAATAATTAACACAGATGGTTCTAAGCTTCACCGCCTGTGGAGTCCATAGCAGTGCCGATGAATGACACGTAGGTAGATCTTCTTTTACGTGGCATGCCATCACACCTTCCTTCCTTTATACAACACTCATCACTACCAAATACATGTCCCCTCGTCACAGCAACACGTAAATTCATTCTACCTACCTCAAAACCTCCCTATAAAATATCTCATAAACAAGGCTTCCTCCGACCATACAACATATACTTCAACCACCCAAAAATTTCCTTCAAAAACTCTCTAATCAACCAAAAATGGCCAGCAATAAGGATTCCAAGTTCCCACCTCAAAGCCAGAAAACGCAGCCGGGAAAAGAACACGTAATGGATCCACTCCCACAAACCATACATGCAGACTACAAACCCGCCAATAAACTTAAGGTATTTTTCAGTTCTCAGAGTGTAATGTTTTTTTGCCATGCTTTTAGTCTAAGTCTTGTTGCTTACAAGTTACGGTGTGGATGTGCACAGGGAAAGGTGGCGCTGGTGACAGGGGGTGACTCGGGAATTGGAAGAGCGGTTTGTCTGTGTTTCGCGAAAGAGGGTGCAACCGTGGCTTTCACATACGTAAAGGGGCATGAGGACAGGGATAAAGATGACACTCTGAAGATGCTGCTAGAAGCTAAAACAGGTGGTGCAGATGATCCGTTGGCAATAGCGGCGGATATTGGCTTTGACGAGAACTGCAAGCAGGTGGTTGAGCTTGTTGTGAAAGAATATGGACGCATCGATGTTCTGGTGAACAATGCAGCCGAACAGCATTTAACAGACTCCGTAGAGGAAATCACTCAACAGCAGATTGAAAGAGTCTTCGGGACCAATATCTTTTCACACTTCTTTTTGGTCAAGTACAGAATGAAACATATCCAAGATATAATTTTTGACCTCATGTATATATATATATATATATATGCTGACCCTTTTTTTGTAGGCATGCTCTGAAGCACATGAAAGAAGGGAGTTCCATCATCAACTCTACTTCAGTTAACGCCTACAATGGGAATCCAGAAGCGTTGGACTACACTGCTACTAAGGGAGCCATTGTTGCCTTCACGAGAGGTCTTTCTCAGCAGGTGGCGAGCAGGGGAATCAGGGTGAATGCTGTTGCACCTGGACCGGTTTGGACGCCAATACAGCCTGCTTCAAAGTCTGGTGAAATGATTGAGAAGTTGGGGTCTGAGGTGCCAATGAAGCGTGCGGCTCAGCCTAGTGAGATTGCACCGTGTTATTTGTTCTTGGCAACTGCTCAGGACTCTTCCTATTTTACTGGTCAAGTCCTCCATCCAAACGGTGCGTCACTTTTATGCCTTCTTTTACTGTAACAACAACAACTCTGTTCAAATTTTTCTTACACGTTCTCTGCTTTCTTGTTTTCTCTAGGTGGAGAGATCGTCAATGCTTAATGCTGTCCAGTACCAGCTTTTCTGCCTTTCTCTTTTACACACAGACAAATAAACACTCTTATCAAATAAACACTGTTATCTTCCTCTGTACCATGTGCCTTCATTTATCAACAAATAAGGGTGCTCATACCTTCACACTACAAAACCTTCACACTACAAAAGGACAAAATTAATTTAAAGTCATAATATATATTATTATATTATTAAAAAGAATCTTCAATTAATGTACTTTTAAGAAACGTGTGAAACAAAACTTTTCCAACAAACTTCTGCTCCTTTCATTTAATTCTGTGTGTTGTCACAGTTCTATATCATATTATATTTATTTAGATATAATTAATTATTTAAATAAAATTAAATCTATAATTAATTATTGAAATAAAATTAAATCTATGCGCAGTAGGAATAAAATATCTTATCATTTATTATAAATAATAGTGATAATTTTATATACAAATGAAAAAACGTTAATATTTTTATATAGAGTGAAAACTAACATGACAGATTTTAAATTACTTATTGGAAGGTGAAAATGAGAAATTTTATTTGTTAGAATACAGACAAAAAAATGTAGACCCACGGTGTATCTCTCTCGTAAAGATTGAGGTTAATTTGAATGACATTGTTACTTTATAAAATTAATTTTAAATATTAAATCTAAATATCACGTCAAACGATCCGTCTAGAATTAGAATAGTGTCGATAAACAGACAAACATCTCATGGATTACATAAACATCTAACTTTCTCATTTCATCTTTTAATTTGTTCAAAACATCTTTGATTCTCATTCACATAAAAGTAAAACATTTTTATATTTAAAGATGTCCTTCTTGCTACTGCTTCGCTTGTTTAATTAGTAAATTAAGAATCATTACCATTATTTTTCAACTCGAAGAAGATATAATAAAATATAATCATAAATTATAGATATTATATATAAAATTTACTTTTCTATACACGATACTTTTAATTTAATGTTATTTCATATATCTCTATTTAATATATATTATATTTTATCCTAATAGTAATCAAGGAAAGTGAACATCATTTATTCATTCAGTATTCTTACTCTTCCATGTTTTAGTCTTTGACTTCTCAAAATTTCTTAATTTTGTTTGAAATTCTAATGATGATTATTTTAGCTTAATTTCTACCCCTACAAGTCCTATTATTTATGAGATTTTAGACTTGTAGATTGTGTGGATCATATGAAAATTAAAAAATCATGCAAATTCAAGCATTATTAAAAAAAAAATATGAATAGTGATATTGAATAAGGGTGGTGCAACTAAAGGTAATTCGAGACATGCTTGTTAGAAATTTAAGTTATGCATTACATTAAAAACAAAAAGTTAAGTAACATATAAAAAAAAACCTCAAAAAATTATTACCTTAAGATTTTTTATAAAAACGTTTTCTCAAATGCCTAAACTTGTAAACTTCCAATGTCATTGAATGTCTCAATCTTTAGTTGTCATCCGTTAAGCAATTCTTATACTCACATATGTGGTCTTATTATTAATAAATGGTTCAATTTATTCTTATTGAAATGATTCAATTTTTACGTGATGTCTATATTGACTTCAACCAGTGATTCTAACCAGCATTGATAGCTTTAAACTGTTGATAATCAATGACAACACTTTTTAGTGGTATTGAAATCAATGGAGACTTTACACGTATAAAATTGTAATAATTTTAAAAATCAAGGGACCGACTTGATCCATCAGTTCATAAGTGGCTAAAATTCAACAAAATAAATAAACAATCAGACAAAAAAGAAGGTAATTAAGTGTAATAACACGAAAGTAAAAATAAGTGTGTAGTATAAACAATGTCTTTCAGTTAAACATAAGAATACGTATTGATAATTTAATTTAAAAAATACAAATTATTAAAATATTAACGTAATTAAGTGTGGAATATTTGTAGGATGTGACAAAGAGAAGAATCCTCTTCATTTTAAACACAAAACTGAAAAATTGATTTAAAATAAATTTGCTAGGCTTTTTGTAGCCAGCGCCGCCGCCGCCGACCATCCTTAACGGAAGGGCGATTTTGTGGGAGGAATTTAGGAGTTTATACAACGTAATTTTTTGCGACATTTATTGCTAAACTGCTTATACAAGGACTTTGAAAAAGATATAAAGTAGAAATAGAAAGAAATAGAAAATTGAAAAGTATTTTATGAAAACAAAATAAGATTGTGAAATTAGAAAAAATTATTAGGAAAGAATTAAATGTAATTGGATAGAGAGAAAGTGGGTGACCCACCTAAAGTAAAGTTGCGGCCTTGATTTGGCGGTGGGACAGCTGTTAGAACATAGCATAGGAGAAAATAAAAAAATGTGGTTCTCATTTTTCAACTGCTACCACTTAACCCTTCATCAATCTCATATCATTTCGTTTCAATCCTATGAAAATGACGAGAAAGATGAGAAGGAGCACGCCATGCGGCGTTAGGGTTGGTAATTCTAATTGTAATTCTAACCTCATTCCATTCGCAATTTTGTTCCCATTTCGATGAAAACTATGCTCCCTCACTTCTCACTATACAAATTCACTTTATAAATCACAATCTACCAATCTTCTCTCAATTCATGGCTCCCAACCCAATGAAGATGAACACCAAGCAATCTGCGAATTCGAGTACGAGTAACATAGCAGCGTCAGCAACAACTTCGTCCCAGGAGATTCTGGTCCGCGAAACGCTGCGTATCAGCGCCAATTTGGCCTCCACCCCTCTCCTCCAAACGCCTTCCTCCCTCACCATGATCTGCTGCGAGGAAATTGATGGACGTCGATGGAAGTACGTCGCCGAGACCGATGCCTCCGGTCATTTCAAGAAGAATTCCTTTCGCCCTCTCTCCCTGCAGTCTCCCCAGGCCCCTCTTGACGTATCTTCTTTTCTCTTTTCTCTTTTCTCTTTTCTCTTTTCTCTCTATCATAAACCCTCATTCCTGGATTCATTCTATTCATTCTCTCACCATCACGATGCAGGAAGTTCTCGCTTTCGTTAGATCCTATGTTGTTCCCGAGGGTTTCCCCGACAGTGTTACTCCTTCCTACGTCCCCTACATGACATGGAGGGCTCTTAAGGTATCACTATTTCCATCTTCCTCTACCAATTCACAATCTTTCCATGCTTTCCTAATTTCTAACCCTTTTTCTTCTAGCACTTTTTTGGTGGAGCAATGGGCGTTTTCACCACTCAGACCCTCTTGAGTTCAGTTGGCGTCTCCAGAAACAGGGCTACTCCTGGGGCTGTCGCCATCAACTGGATTCTCAAGGTAACTATAACCGTGGCAATCATTCTCAGCTTCACTCGCCACTGTTTAGCTGAATGTGAAAATAAATAAATAAATAATACCCGTAGGACGGTGCTGGTCGTGTGGGGAAGATGCTGTTTGCTCGCCAAGGAAAGAAATTTGATTATGACCTCAAACAGGTAATCGTTAGCTTCCTTGCTTCTTTTGCTCAACCTCGTCATACAAATTGGTTCTTCCCGAATTCCCACAATCTGCAGTCTCAGAGTTTTTGTGTTACAGCTGCGGTTTGCGGGTGATCTTCTGATGGAGCTGGGTGCTGGAGTTGAACTGGCAACTTCTGCAGTGCCGCATCTGTTTCTACCTTTGGCTTGTGCTGCGAATGTAGTAAAGGTTTGGCGACTGCTTTGCGATGAGTGTTTCGCTTGTATGTGAGCTCTGCAGGCTTATTTGTTCATTTCTGCTCTCAGAATGTTGCTGCTGTAACATCAACATCAACTCGGACGCCGATTTACAAAGCCTTTGCCAAAGGTGAAAACATAGGGGATGTCACTGCTAAAGGAGAATGTGTTGGCAATATTGCGGACCTGGTATGTTTCTGAACTTTGATTAATTCTAATGTTGGCATACTTTTGTTGGAACATTGTTTGCAACAGTTTTTGCAACCTGGGCTAACCTGGTACTCGGCTTCCTCCTTTTCTTTGCCTTCTAATCAATCAACTTCATTCTTGCATGGGTGCATGGCCATTACATGCTTTGAAAATGATGACTTTTGAAGTGATCGCTTTGATTTAATATTTAATAGCATACAAGAAAAACACAATATTTAATATTGCTCGGCATATATAGTTCTTGGCAGGGGGTGTGATGGAATCCTTCATGCATTATAATATCCCCAAATTATATTATATAAGTTAGTGCAAATCTCATGTTGAAAGATGACTTTGTAGGATTGAATTAATTGTAAATTTAATTTGTAAAAGTCGTATTAGAGACTGTTTACCTCTTTGAACTGTGTCATTATAATTGAAAAATCCAGGTTTGATGATGTTTGTGAAAAATTGTTTACCTTTCGAAATCTCTTTCAATTTGCAGTTAGGAACTGGTTTGAGCATACTGATTTCCAAAAGGAATCCGTCGCTTTTCACCACATTTTCCCTCCTTTCATGTGGATATATCGTTAGCTCTTATAGAGAGGTTTGTCTTTTGTGTATGCTATGATGATGCTTATCTATCTGTACTTCCAATCTGGTGATCGTGTGTATCTAATGTTTAATGCATTAATAGGTTAAATCTGTTGTTCTGCACACACTTAACTGTGCAAGATTCAGTGTGGCAGTAGAATCCTTCCTCAAGACAGGTAGTGGATCTGTTTAAAATCATCAAACAGTCAATCCATGCTCTCTTATTGATCAGGCTGTTCTTTCTTTTATAGAAAATTTAATTTATATAATCACTAGATGCAATTCCACTAGAAGCCTTGTTCACATTTTAACTAAAGTTAATCTATTTCAGGACGAGTTCCCACTTTGCAGGAGGGCAATGCGAATGAGAACATATTCAGTTTTCCATGGAGAGATAAGCCTGTTGTCCTTGGTATACCAATAGGCTAAAAGATTTTTACCAGCAATCATTTTGGGTGAAAAATTAAAACTGAACTCTTTTTTTAACTGTCTTTCTAGGATCAAGAGTCAAGGAAGCATTCCAAGACCCTAGTGCATATATTGCCATAGAGCCGTTGTTTGATGTAAGCCTTTTTGAGAACTTGAGATTTTCCATCTCTTTCTTAAGTTATTGGTTGATTGATGTTGCTATATAATATATGTAACTGATGTTCTCTTAAATTGGTAA